CAGTATTTTAGTTTTACTTTTATTTATTTTCATACAGTACTGATCTGTCAGTACCGCTTCCATTTTATTTAAAGCTATCTCTAGGTCCTCCTTGCTAGATGCTAATACTGTTATATCATCTGCAAATCTAAGCATACTAATCTTTTGCTCTTGCACATCTATCCCTACAGTTGTACTGTCTTTAATGATGTTGATGGCGTCTTCGATGTATAGATTAAAAAGTAGCGGTGACAGTGTTCATCCTGCCTGACTCCCTTCCTAATATTTATTTCTCTACGTTGCATCCCCAGCTCACTAACTACCTGTTGCTCTTTATACAAACTAAGTATCACTCTTCTATCTTTGTAATTCATCCCTACATTTAGAAGATATAGAAGAACATTAAAAAAGAACATAGATTCTCACGCTTAATTGTCAAAGAGGTTGTATCAAATCGTCCTGCATCATTCCACTAATAAAAAATGTGGACTTTCTAAATTTGACGTTAACTTTTCAGTATAAATGACCCTGGTGTAGATTTTGGTTTTGGTCAGAGTATTCTACATCCAGAGTCTCTTATATTTAGAACGCCACCGTATATCGTAAATCAAATTACATTACAAGATTTTTCGTCCAACAACCAAAAACCGTTTCCTTCCTCTAACATTAGAAGTTCGAGCAGCCCTACAAACTCTTTCCTAAAACAAAGAAAAAAGGAAGATATTGAAGCAGAAGGTTCATCGTCAGTTGATAGAAAAGTGAACAGGCGATTCTCATCTGTTTCCATAAGGTAAGTACATTTTTATCTTTTAGGCCAATGTCCAGGTATGACTTCGTTACAAAAGAAACTGACAGTAGTTACAAAAGAAACTGACAGTAGTTTTGAGGCACCTGAAATAGTGTCCTTAATAAAGAATAAAATCCATTGTGTGTGTACTATTTTGCAAAAATTATGTCTGTTAATGTTAATGTTTAATTAGTAGTTACTTTGTCATCATAAGGTCACCAATTCTAAGACTGATTGGACACGCACCTCCACTCTTTCCTATCCTGAGTTTCCCATATCCTTAACTATTTGTGAACAGTAATGTAGGTCTATCCTCTTCACTCCTGCTTCTGCTTTTAATATGTCTTTGACTAGCCCCTCATGCCTGAATACCAGCGTCCATAGAATTCTCTGTTCTCCTATTCTTTCTAATACTTCCTTATTTCTAACCTTCTCGTTTCACGGTATCCTCATCATTCACCGGTAACACCACATTTCGGACGCTTCTAACCATTTCTTTTCCGCCGCGCCGATTGTCTATATTTCGCACCCGTACAGCGTCGTGCTCCAATACTTTTCTAATTGTACATTAACCGTTCGCGAGCATAAAAGTGCCTTTTTTACTCAGTTACTTATAAATAAAAAATTTTTGTTAAATAATAGCATAATAGTAAATTAAACTCATTATCGTTAAGTTTAAAAGAACTTTCGTCGAAGGATGTACATTTTTAATGATGCTTAGCGAAATGCGAATTTAAAGATGGCTGCCGTAGCGTACCCTACAATAATGTGACGCCATTTTGAATGCACACTTAATAACTTATTGTCTCAAAACTGTTCTTCAAAAGGAGTCGCTTACCCTGTGTTAATTGTATGCATTTTGACGCCCCTTTATTCTGATTATTTACTACGTGGACATTGGCCTCGAAAGAAAAAAATAAAACGAAAATCAAAACAAATAATCGAAAACTTTTAGAAGCAAGGATGTTCCTTATTCTCGTTTAGTGGAAGCTTATTGCACCGTTTTACCCGTTAAACTTGATAGTGATTCAAAATTGCATTCAGAAAGAGGAAAACTGAATGTTCCAGAAAACAAGAAATTACCAAAAAACAGTATATCAGACTCCAAATTAGCCGTCGACTATTTTAATACACCTCACGCGGAAGAATTTGATGACGTATTGAGTACAGTAAGTGTGATTAAAGTTAACATAAATAGATAATGATAATAAACAATTCTTTAGTAGGTCCATCAGTTAAATTGCATGCACTTATTATTTTTTCTTTCTATGTCTATAGGAAGCTAACAGCGACAGTGTTGTGACTGCAAAATCAAAATCCGTTAATGTTTCGGAGTCCCAGCATTCCTTGAACAATCAGAAGGCTCTTTCTGACGAAGAAGTCCAGAAGCAGGTATTTATATTTTATTATTGTTCCCGTTATTGTAGCCATTTATAAATTATTGGTTTACCATAAATTAATTTTTGTTAGGAAAGTGACATTTAGTAGTAGTAAAAATGAACCTCTTTAAGGAATCAAAAATGAATTAAATACAGTAGGTAAATGTCAAGAAAATGGATATTGTGTAATGTATGGAAAACAGTTAATTTTATATAATAAAAAGAAAAATCGGGTTTTCAAAAAATATGCAACATTGGGGAGAGAATGACTATTCCTCTCCCCCCAATGTTGGTAAATACTGGAATCATATTAAACGAAAATCAAATAATATTTTAACCCAGAAGGTATAAGTGTACTTGGTGTTTCTGAAATAAGTAGGGTGTTAACTACATGCAATAAGGAATCGCATGGTAAGTAACCAGACGAATTTGTAATCTGAAGCCGGCTCTGGGCGTGAATTAGCAACGTGTAGAGGAAATGCGATAACAATTAAGCAGCTACATCGATGGTAAATGTAAACCGTGACAGTTGTGGAACGACTAATACAGTAAATATCAATAGCTTATTACTACGGGACTGCAATAAAAATGTTTAGACGCCCATTGCGATAAAAAATAACGTTATGTGAACAGTAGTAGATAAATTAATATCCTCTGGATAGGTAACAGTAATTTTATTAAATTTCCAAACCATCATTTGGATAAGGATTAATGCTGTATTGCTTAAAATCGCTTCGTAAATAAGCGATTATTTCTCGTAAAAAGTAAAGGATTAAAAATGGTTATTGTGGGTTATCCCTAAGAGGTAGACATATACCATATACTTTTGATAGACCTTTCTAAGGTGTACAGTACTGTAGTATATTATTTTGATCTATCTCGTAGGGTTCAGCCAGCGTTTGCAATGTAAGCGCAAAAAAATGTGTTCATTTACGACATCACATTACAAACCTCTAAAATTGTCAATGTTTCTCTACTATATTATGCATGTATTATACATATAAACCTTCCTCTCGAATCACTGTATCTTTTAAAAAAAACCGCATCAAAATCCGTTGGGTAGTTTTAAAGATCTAAGCATACATAGGGGCAGACAGCGGGGGAAATGCGTTGCATGATTTCGTTACATAGCAACTCGCATGAAACGAAAAGAAGTTTCACTTCAAAAAAATATTACAACGCCAGTAAACACACAGAAACATGTATGCACAATACAAAAATTATATTTGAATCGTGCAAAGATGTCCGACAGCTGACTTACTTTATTTGCAGCGATCATACGCGGTCGTGCAAATCATTAGCGTTCTGTGCTGGCGTTTAATACACTGTTTCATACAACCCCATATAAATAAGTCAAACAGATTTAGATCAGGACTACCTACCGGCCAGAATAAGTCTCAAATAGCCTCTAAGAAAACTGACGCATTGGTCAATGCAATAATACTGACCTATTACACTGATACATTGACCTACCTTTAATGACTTCGACTATCTGCATACATACATAATAGAAGCCCACAATGTTAAAAGAATAATGAAATACTATAGACNCTTTTTTAAAGCAAATATTTGAAAAAAAGCTAATAAAACTAATTATAGGCCTAGTTCCTGAGGAGCCTGTCCATGTTGTGTTAGCAAATGGAGATGTTGTCGAATCTAGTCCGCCCATGTGGGGGGTTGATATTAAATGTGGCAAAGGTATTCTTATTCTTACGACTTTAAGTATCTGATAAATAATTTTTGACTCATGATTTACTAATACGTTTCGAAGAATAAATTAATCGAATTTTTTATTTTCCTTTTTCGCTAAGTTCAATTTAATATTTTCAATTTCTAGGTACCGATTTCAGTTATGGTCCTTGGGCAGACCGTCAAAGGGAGCACTTGTACAAGTTTTTTTACCCTACGGACTATTTGCCCATGGAGATAACTAAAACGCCAAAACCTGGGGAAAAGCGCCAAATGCAATCTTTCGACATACGATTATCACTGCAAAATGAATCAACAATCGACATACTTTTCACTAAAAATAAGGAAACTAACGCGGTACATATTAACGTAGGAGCCGGTAGCTATTTAGAAATCACAATACCATGGGTTGTTCACCAAGATGGGTAATTATTATTAATGAAACTACAATTGGTAGGTACATATTGAAATTGCTTTTTTGCTCAAGTTTTACAACTAAAATAAATGGACAATTACTCCATCTTGAATCTACGACTAGCTTACAATTTAGAGACTTATTGTCAAGTGAAACTTTGGAATTTTGTGTATTATGTCATTACCCCCTCATTTGGAACGAACATCAGCTGTGGGAATTGAATTTAACCGGTTGTAAAGCATCACTAAGTTTGATATTTGCCCACAAATGGTTCTTTCAAGGTAGGAACAACATAAATCTTCTAGAAAGTGAATGAAAACTATTTTCTTTTCTATTTATGTATTAGATCTAGTAAATGACTGGGCATCAAAACAAAGACCCGATATTTTACATTTCCTTCCTTATACTTGGCGCTTGGGATTGACTTTAAAACATTGCGAATTGACAACATTAATTAATCAATACAATTGGATAGATTGTAGCAGTGTTGGTCAAAGGCAAAGGCTTGAGCATACTCAGTTAGCCCTTTGTGCTCATTTCTTACATCTATCGTTTGATCTTCCCTTTGACGAATTTTTACCTGAAACTGTGCCACTCAATTTCAGCATTCAAGTAAGTCAGTAAAAGCAAACATAATGGCGTCAAAACGTTTGGATATTGCATACTTTATAAATTTTGATTTAAACAAAATTAATAGTTTCCTAAGAACCGAGACTCTTTTATAATTTCCCTGTTTCGTCAAAAATGCATGCAATTGGATTGTTTTGATAACAGGCATATATGTTAACATACCACATTAAATTAAAACAATCACCATTTTGGTTCATATTTATCAATTTAATGAAGTACCTATTTCATTTAATATGATATTCCAAACTTTTCGGCGATAGTATATCATATATTTGAACGATACCTTCTACATAGGGTGAAAGTATAGACTTGAGTCTTTTCATTCCTGAATTCCACACTAGTCGTAATGTTATGCTATCCTTACAAAAGAATGCTAAGGTCCTTTCGAAAGATGGATCCATGACTAAAAAGACTGAGATAATACCAAAATGGAGAAACATCTGTCATCAAAGGTAAATGCAGTTTGCTCTTGTATCAAAATTAACAAAATATTGTTATATTAATTGTATTGGAAACAGCTCGGGATGGGTTGATTTTTGGTGGGTACCAATTGGGGCGATTAATATTTCATACGTGTATCATCCATGTCCACCTCTGGGTCCCATGCCCCAAGCTGACATTTCAACACCAGTGAAAGAAGAACTTTTGCTGTCTCCAATTCGGTTTCCTCACAATTTGAGAGTTCAAAGGCCATCGGGGGTAAAAGCATTTGATTCATTTGAAACTATCATAAAAAATAACAAACTTACTTCTTAAGGATGGCGCTCATCATTTCGATCCGACTATTTTAAAAGCAGATAAGGTAGGAGTGGAGCTTGAGATAGGCCCTTCGGTTTTCTTGCTTTACGGCACTGCCATAAGAAACTTTCTGAATTTCAAAGTGAGTAGTGATAACAGTTTTCTCTTTGAGATAGCATTTCAAAATTTGTGCGTATATTTGATTGAAAGGAAAACATATTTGGGGAAGATCAAATGTTCAAAGACATGCAGCGTAGCAACTCTCCTCCCGATGAAAAAGACGCTGAATCTGCTGACTTTGTTCCATTGGAACTGAGAGAAGATTTCGATCATCGTTATTACAGACCATTTGATGTTGACGTATCAATAATTATGCACGATGTACAAGCACATTTGCTAAAGGTATATTATATGATTAAAAATAGATAATGGTGTGATTTGTTAAATTTTCATTTTACTGGAATAGAATTGTACAGAAAATGATCCACCTTGTCCAGTAATTTTGATCGAACGTTTTGGATTTGAAATGAAAAAACGTTACGATCAAACAGAATTGCAATTATTGGTCAGTCCGTCAGTACTTCTCGTTTCGGACAACATTAATCGTCCTTCAAGGGAAAAACAACTCAGTCAAGGAAAAGTCACTTTGTCTGCTTTACAGGTAGGTATTTTGAATTGAAAACACGCAGAACCATAAACCACATTGGTTAACATATTTAGGTGAGAGGTCACGCCATGTTCTCGGACATAGGATGTCAATTGGATGAAGATACTATAGAGTACGCTTGGCTTCTTGAAGCACAAATGGGAAAACTAACTGGCAAATTAACTGCTCCTCAACTCTATTCCCTCATAGTAAGCATGGAAACGTTGATACTCCTGATCGATGATGATGAAAATGAGTTGAACTCACCGAAAAACATTTCTGCATTGAGTCAATGTCAGAATTCGACGAAACCCAAAGTCACTCCTCAGAACATATCTCAAAATGTCCAGCAAACTATTCAGCAGTTTTTACAGAATAAAGGAAGTGGAGTTGTATCGATAAACAAGTCTAATCCAGGTCATGGGGCATCCGCAACGGGAACAGCATCGATCAAAGGAGATTTCGCTGAAAGGATTAACAGAAGTATGAGGAAAAGTGATTCGGAAAAACTAAAGCGCAGTGAAAGTATTAATAAAGAAAAGAGTGCCGTGAAGGCCGGTGGCGGAGATAAAGTTGATAAGGAAGAAGAAGAGGTTCAGTATGATCCTCATAAGCTGAAGTACAAATTTTGTCGGCTGGCTGTCGACTCAGTAGATTTTTGGTTGGTAGAATGTGGAACTGCTTTGGAATTGTGGGTAAGTAAGTCAGAAACATTCAAAATATTAGAAAGAAATTAGAAAGAAATTCCTACATAAAAATTTTACTCAAAACCTGCTCTATCTAGAAAAGTACCTAAAAAGCAAAAAAACAATTTCGTGAACGTGTTGAGAAGTAATTTGATAAGATCGAACTTTGGATTCTGATAGGGTAAACATTTTTAGTAATGGGATGAATTTATTGATTTCATGATAAACTCTTGAAGAACGTTTTGTGTCTTCTTCATGTTTGCGTTAATTTTAACATTCTTTTAGTTGTTGGTTCATATTTCTATATACCACTATATACTTAAAAGGTTTTATTAAAACAAAAAAGGACCAGATAAAAGGGTCAAAAATGGGTCTGGGACCATTCATTTCTGTTATCAACAGGCATATGAAAAATAGTTATATATACTGGTGTATTT